TTGTTAAGGTCACTCACCGATACTTGCACAACACCAGGTGCTCCGCAACCGGCCATTTTCTTTTTTATATCGCTTAATTCAACTTTTTTCGCCTTCGCCAATTCATCAAGGAATTTATTATAATCTGTATAAGAGATTTTCATCGCTTTGAATTTCTTAAAATGTATGCCCGTATCAGTGGTGGTGATCTTCTTGTCGATCACTTTAGCTTGCTTCATCCACTTATCACTCTGCGATAATGTAATCAATTTGCCATCTGATTTTGTATCACCAAATTTGGAGAAGGCTTTGAATTGATCTTGAAAACTGACTTTTGGTTCATCTTCCAAAGCCAATTGTGCGATCTCGGCAACTGGTGGCTCTGCGGGGGCGGGTGATGAACTACCACCATTTGTTGCTTCCGCTGACATAGTGGATCTGGAAAGAAAGAGGCAAGGAGGAAAAATTAAAATTGGTGAATAAAACTTGGGGGCTATAAAAAAAAAGCAATTGCATTTTTTGTTAAAAAATAGGTGACTGGCTTGAATTTCATGTTCAATGAAATTGCTTCTGTGTGTATTTGATTTTTTTTCCTACTCGATGTACTTCATTTATTTTTTCTCACCTGCGTGCCACTATAGATGCAAGCATTTCGGATAAAAGGAGATGACCCTGTGGTTAATGTAATAATTTCTATGTATGTCCTTTAACTTTTGTATGCGGGAATATCCTCTCCAAAAACACACGCAATCGTTGCTTGCTAATTATAATCTAATTTTAAACCATAGAAAATCGAGCGTATGAACGTACATACATAAGTACATACATATGTTTGTTTATTATTATCGTCCCGTCACTTTGATGCATTGACCACAAAATCGATAGCAGACAACTTTAAACGCGCATTCCGAAAAATCAAGTTGATGTATTAAAATTCCCAACCCCTATCTGCCAATACACTGATTCGTATGAATTTAATAATTGAACTGGAATAACAATAATTTCTACTGTATAATGAAAGTCGGGTTTCGTTATATTTTTTTTGTTTTGTATTTCAGTCATTGCAGTTTTTTTTTGGTTTTAATATGTATTAGCATTTTTCGCTTGCGCTTAGCTTTGTTTCGTTGCTTTCGCTTGCTCTTATCTGATAATATGCGTCATATTTAGTTCATAATTGCATTGCAGTGCTTTCTTGAAATATTAAAATATTATTATTTGTTTTTCAAACTCGTACATTTTTTGTGTACATATGTATTAGGGATGTTAATCCCGGGATCCCGTGATCCCGGCCTTTTTAAAGCCCGAAAATCCCGGGATTATTTGCCACGAATCCGGGATTTTCTGTATTTGTAATTTGCAATGGTGGCAATAATAGAAACGCCTTATGTTGAGCAGTTTTTGCTATATTTCTTTTGTTTATTTAATATTTAATATTTTTTATAAATGTCATTATACATACACATAACACACAAAAATCAATGTAATAATATTATGACCTCTCTGCACCTTCATACCTATATGCTGTAGAATAGGTAAGTCTTAATTTGTGGGTATTGATGGCAACTAAATCGCAAAACACGTGGTTCAACGGAACCTGTAGGGTGCATAGCCAGCTTTTCTGAGAGTACAGTGCTACCGAAAGGCAATGATGAAGGGGATATGTATAGCTCCCTATTGGTAAGCCTCTGAGCGACATTTTATTCTTAATGGACCTGAGGACTGAGAGAGGATGGTTTCGGGTGCAGAATTTCACGCATTTGGGTAAGGTTTTTGATTGACATTCACGATTCTTTGCATCGGTTCAAACATCTCACGACCTCCGATTTTCACACCAAGTAAGCTCTGGATAGCAACCAAATAACCGTTAAGAAGAGAGCTAATGTAAGAAGGCAGACCCCCAGAAATGAGTTGTGCGCTAGGCTTGTCACCCGTGACGTAAGAGCAAATTTCAATGAAATAAAAAAGTTAAGCCTCGGATGAGACCCTTTTCTATTGATGACACTTTGATAAATGTAAAGGACTACGGTTTGAGGGCATCCACCTGGAATGTTCAGACCGTTAACGGGAAAGGTGTCTCTGCCTGGTGCGTTGATGTTCACGGAAAGACAAAGAGCGCGATTATCCACGAAACTGTACTCAGCGTACTATATAGTAGAAGTGCGTAGAAACATATCAAACTTGCGGTTTTGAGAGAGAGAGAGGAAGGGACGACAACGTCGCGGTCATGCCGTGGTGAGTTTTTGTTAACACGCAAATCACATAAGATAGGTCGAGTGAGCTACCCTGGTCTCCGAATTTCAAAACTTTGCATTATCCTGGTTCGAGCAAAATTCTAATGGCAAACCTCCGAGTGTATTTTCGTCATGAGGAATCTTATTTAAGCCATTTGCCGTTCGGAGTCGGCGGAAACCTCTAGATCCCTCCGTTTGTCTGACAACATCAAGTTCAATCTACACATCTACACATCAAGTTCAAAAACACAAATGTATTTCAGAAAAGGCCAAATGCATTTCAGAAGAACTGAAATGTATTTATGAAAACCTCAAATATATTTCAGAAAGGGCAAATGTACAATACATTTGCGTTTTTCTGAAAATCATTGGAACTGAAATACAATCGTGTTTTTCTGAATTTCATTTGGCTTTTTCTGAAATACGTTTGAGCGTTTCTGAAATACATTTGCCCTCTACTAAAATACATTTGAGTTTTTCTGAAATTGATTTGGCCTCTTCTGAAATTCATTTGGCCTTTTCTGAAATACATTTGTGTTTTTCTGAAATACTGTTGGAAAAGGTGTAGGTTTTCTTTAGAAAGCAGATAAATTTGAAAAGCTACTTGAGAAAACGGCCCTAAGATCTGTTAATTTTGCTGTTGTTCGAAAGGCCTGGAAATATTTTTATTTTTTTTTTCATAAATCATAAGAAAATCAATGAAGAATTTCGGTAAATTTTTTCTTACAAGAAATTTTTTTCCTGGCATTTAAAATATTCTCACAAAAATCCATTCGTTATTCGGAAGTGTAATAAAACTGTAGAAGACTGTCACATTAAGGCGTTCACTCGCCCTTTCTCTTTTTTACTTTGCAATTTGTAAACATACTACATATTAGAGGTATACGCCGCCGAGCCACGCCGCCGCCGCCGCCGTTTTTTGTCATTCCTCACGCGCCGCCGCCGAGTTACGAAAATATCGGCGCAGCGGCGGCGGCGGCGGCGTTCGGCGCCTAAGGAATTTTGTACAAAATTTTCATGATGTATGTACATTGAATACATCGTTTGAAGGAACTAAATATTACTTGTATAAAAACACAATTTTACGAAATGAAAATTACATTTTTAAATTAGTTCTTTTTGCATAATTTGGGCCACTGGACAAGAGTATGATCTCCTTTATTTTTTCCAAAATAGCATAACTTAGAAAAAACATAGGTAACATATTTTTTGACGGCAGCGTTTATTACAGTTAAATTAGGGTCGAATACTGGTAATCTAACGATTTTTTTCCGCAGTAGACAATTCTTTTCTATACTACAAAAATACTACTTTTTTATACACCTACTACAACAACTAGAAACTTATAACACATCAAAAACTTTAGCTCCAACATCTCAGAAAGCAGTTTTAATAGAAGCGGCCTCTTTGCATCTAACTCCTCAATTATTGAAGATAAATCAAAGACAAGTTGATTTTTCTATGTATTTTTTTTAATATTTTAAACAAACACTTTTTTGCTAATATTTACATTCGTAAGTTATTTTATTCTGGGGTCCCACATACGTATGCAAGTACTAGGTGGCTGTGTGAAAATTACGTTAGCATTCCTTAGTGGTGGTCAAACCCCAGGAAGGTTTTGCTCCCTCGCATCGCTATGTTTTCTACACAGGGTTAAAGTTCCCTCTTTATGGTAAACATTAGTATTATTTTTCATTACATTCGGTTCTCCTTAGAAAAATTTGGCGCTTCATATTTTAGTGGAAGTTTTAACCATCTATAAGCCATTTTTTTTAACAGTGGGTCAAAAAGTCCCATTCTGGTTCGAGTTGATAAGACTATTGCAAAAATTTATTGAGAGCGGCATAAATTACCCCAATAACTAAACTTTAAACAATTTTTTTTTTCTTTAAATTTAAATAGTACATACGGATCTGTAGAGAATATAGAGATCCGTGTGTGTATGTATGTATATACCTCAGACCTTCTTCTGTTCGCCCATCAATCAGCGCCAGACACTCAGCATTTTAATTCAAGTAGGAAGTAACAATATTTAAATTTAAAACTAATTCAATAATGAAGTAAATAGAATTATAATAATAGAATAATTGGCATGGCGAATGCCTAACGCTGACGAGTTGAAATGATAAGATGAGTAGCCTCATGGCTCTTTGAAATCTACCTTATGAGAAGTAGCGCCGGCGTTTCCAGACGCGCCGGCGTCGCCGCCGCCGCCGAATCTTTTTGACGTTGACCACGCCGCCGCCGCAAAGCCTGTCGGCGTAAACCTCTACTACATATGTAGCTTCACACAAACCCTTCTTAAATTTATTAATTCTCAGTCGTCTGTAAAATTGAACGTCAATACAAAACAGTCGTAATCTCATTCTTACATTCAACAAAGCAACTGAAGGCAATTAATTTCGAGCTGATTAAGTTAACATTCCCCTCTTCGAGAGAAAAAAAAAAGTCATTATCATAAGCGGCTGCCAAAATTCGTTTTGTATTTGCAGTCGTTCAGTTTAATGCGCAGCCGCTTGAACAGAACGCGGGATACAGCATCGGGCATACTTGTGTATTTAGTATTTATGTTCATATGTTTTTAAACGGAGTTTTGTTCAAGTCATTCAGATATACATACATACATACTTAGTATGTACATATGTATCTTTCTGTTGTTTATGTTTACTTTAACTCGCATTGGAATTCATTGATTTTGGTAATCATTTTAGTTGAAATAAATTATAATACTTTGCTACTGCAATTCAACGGATTTGTAATCATTTTTCATTACATGTCGTAGATAGTTTGCTGTTAAGGAAATACTCTAGGATATTCGATTCGATACTGAATTAGGCGGTTTGAAATGTTGATTTACATATATGGCTTTTGTTTGAAAATTGGACAATATTTTTATAAAAACGTGTCAGTTGTTTGCATCATTGTCTATATATATGTCTGTTTTGGAATATACTTAGGTAAGAGGTTTGCACTAAGGTGTATTAAATTTAACGAATAATATTTTAATAAGATATGAAAACGTTTCATTGATAAACATTTTACCTTAAAATTATTTGAATGCTTGGTCATTAGAAAAAAGTGGACACTAATCGCTACTAAAAAACTTGTTTTTTTTTTTTAATTTCAACCTTACATTTATAGAAAATATCTTGAAGAAAATGTGAGTATTTTATAAACCAGAAAATGGAATCCTTTCATAGTACAGGCAAAGCGAGACTTCATTGCAGTCGAACATCTTATTATTGTATGTAGAGAAATAGCCAATCGCACCTCTACACGGCATCTCTTCCTGTGTAGCACCTTCAACTATTGTTTACAGTTCATCTTATGGGTAGGTCAAGGTCGCAACGGCCTTAAAACACACGATTTTTTTTTTATCTGCTCTATAGCAATTTCCGTATACACATCTGCATTTGTACATATGTGTGTACATAAACACACATTCACAAAGTGGCATCATTCAATTGTAAACAAAGAAGCCACACCCAAAAGTCATAAAAATAAATTGTAAATAAAAGAAAGAAATGTCAATAGCGAACATAGAACAAGCGAACGCGAGTGAGAAAAGCGCTCACCCATCC